GAGAGGTGAATATCCCAGACTGCTTTGCTCTGGGCACAGGCAGGGACCTAGATGAAGAACCATCCAAAGCAGACAACAGCCCCCACTATAAATGGAGGTGGAGGGCAGCTGGCAAAGGAGGCAAGAAATCGGTCCAGAGACTTAAATGAAATAACACTTGCAAGATGACAACAGCAGGCTGGGACCTTGGAGGGGCAAGAAGAGATATGGCTGATCTGAAGGCAAAGGAAAAAAAACAGATGAAAACATAGTCTTCCTGTAACCAGTACAGGCTCCAGGAGGATCGGATGCACAAGAACCCAGAGAAGACAGATGAGAGATGGGTGCTAAAGACGAGGTAGGTGGGTAGGTGACACCATGGGAAGGAGAACAAGCAAAGACCCTCGTGACCTTATTGAAGGAAAGACGATGGGACATGTGGCCTCTCTCAGAGCAGAGCAGCACCTGCTGAGTCCCTAGCTAGAAGTAACGGAGAGAGGGGAAAGATTAGCTGAAGGTCACAGGACCAGAGCAGCGCAGATTAGACAGCAGTGTGCAGCCTTGCAGCCCAACACCCTGCTCTGCTGGAGGATGGAGCGAGCTTCGACCAAGCTCTTGGACTTTCATCCCTTTCAAATCCCAGAGGCTTTGCAGCTGGGCGCAGGGAACAAGGGGGAATTTCTGCTGTCTGCAGCCCCGAGGAGAGCCCAGCACGATGACAGGGTGTGCTTTTGGCTCCCTGGTGCTGGGAAAGCAGGGGCAGAGCAGAAGCAGCACCAGATGGAACAACTACGAGTGCTGTGTTAGGAGATGACCAGGCTAACTCAGCTCCATTCAGGGGGATGCAGAGACAATAATCAGGATGATGGGCAGTGACCAGAAGACAGAGGAGGCCAAACCTTGCCAAAGACTGGAAGCTGAAGAAGGAGCTCCAATGGTACCTGCACCTAGCTGGAGGCTTTTTAAATCAAAGCACGAAGAAAGCAAGTGGGTGGTGGCAAGGTTGCCCTCAACTGCAAGAGGGTTAAGGTAGGACCCTGCCCACCACCCCCAGTTTGGTGTCAGTAGCGCCTTGGAGGAACACAACCAGGATGAGTTTTCCTCGCTGAGCTCCACAGGCTTTTGGAAGTTCCTGGCTACCAACACTGTCCCAGCTCAAGCAGGAAGTTTGAGGGGGTTTAGCAGAGAGCTCCTGTAAGCCCTGATGAAGAGTGGGAACAGGAAAAAGCAGCATCTTGGAGAGAGACAAACATTTGTGAGGATAACCGAGATGCCCCCCAAAAGCCCTCAGAGCATGACATCTCTGCTACCTCTGCCTTGCTGCCCCTGCAAGGCGTTAGCAGCAAGACACACCTGAAGCAGGACCAACCACTAGTGAAGCACGAGCGAGGGGTCACCTCTGCGCCATGTACCACAGCTCCCACACCTCTGCTTTCACAGCTCCAATTGCTCTGCTCCTTTGGGGGCAAGGAGCAACCACAAAAACAGAAGCATCCCTGTACACTCTCAAGGCCCCTGCTTCGCAAGCAGTGGGGTTTGAGAAGCAAGGCTGCAGCTTGGATCACTCCCAGCTGGAGTGACCATCACAGCCTCTGCACCACCAGCTGATCGGATCCTCTGCTGCCGACACTACCCAGCCAGCAAGGCACAGGGGATGCTCTTTTCTCAGCCATCAAAGCAGCAAGAAAGAGGGAAGAGCAGGGAGGAAGGGTCCATGACAGTGAGGATGCTCTCGGCAGCACTAAGGCAGGAAGTCTGCTTCTGCAGGGGGAGAAGGAGAGAGAAAGAACAAAGATGCTGCCTTGCCAGGTGTGCTGCCAAATGGGGCTAGGTGGTCAGGGACAAGGGCCCTGGTCCTGGCAGCCTCACAGGGTGAAGGGAAAAAAAGAGAAATCTTGCAACTGCCTGCCAGATCCTCTCCATGCACACCACCTTGCAGCTGGTGTGGGAGCAGCCCCTGGGGCATCCTGGCATGAGAAAGATCACATGAAGGAGGCTTCCCTACACAAGTGTGCTGTGGGCTTAGGCAACCAGGTTTATTTTCTCCATCAGAAGGCGGGATAGCTGGACAGGGGCAGGTAGAGCAGGGTATGGGACATGGCACCCTCTGCCTTGGCTGGGACTGGGAGGTCCTCAGCGCTGCTGCCCTCGGGGAGCATTTAAGGGCTACTAGGGGAAAACCAGGGTGCATCCAGCTGTGGTAGTAGCTGACACAAAGGGAAGGGAAAAAGAAGAACACGAATCCACCAAGAGGCACAAATCCAAGCCTGAACTCCCAGCCACTTAGATTAGTTCAGAAGCAAGATAGAAAACTGTAAGAGAAAAAGAGAAAGAGAGAGAGTGTGAGCAGGAAAGAGAGAAGAAAGAAGACCCTGAAAAAACGACATACTATTCCCGCTCCTCTCGCTCCGTCTGCCAGCGTCGGCGCCTGGGGGCACAGAAACACAAAAGGAGAGGTTACAACCATGGGAGCAGGCACTGGGTCTCCTCTCTCTCATCTGACACGGCTCCACACCATCCTGAGGAAGAGAAACCTGCCAACAGCCAGACTGGAGAAGACCTTCCTTCCAGAGCCCAGTGTCACCCCAAGCCACAACACCCCGGAGCCCCGGTTGGCCCAGGGGCAGAGGGAAGCTGCCTTAACTGGGGAGGTGGTTGCAGAGCCCCTGTGGCTACCAGCCCGTGCTTGGCTCCAGATAGCTCAAAACCTCAGGATGCTGCTCTCTCCCCACTGAGGTCTCAGCCTGCTATCCTCTTCTCGCTTTCCCCCAAGGCCCCTGTGTTGCTGATTTCCTCAGCCAGGCCAGGAAAGGAGGGGCAGAGGAGCCACAGGGACACAGCTGCTTATCTAACGCTATCCAGGACCACTTATCTAAACCAGGAGAGTTCTTGGTTCACTGCTGGAGGAAAACAACTCTTACTCTTTCCACTGTCATGCACAGAGAAGCTTGCTTGAGCCTGTATCACCACAGGACCCAAAGAGGCTGGAGCTCACCCCCATCCAAGCCTTTGGGCACGATGAGCTTGTGGAGCTGATCAAGGAGAAGAACCACCTACCACAGCCAGCCTTCAGAAGGCACACTGTGCCTCCAGCACACGACAAAGCACCACGGGCACAGCAAACCATCCCTGGAGAGAGGCAGGCTACCTGCATAACCCCTCTAGCTTAATCAAGGAGAGATCCTTGTTCTGCACTGGAGGAAAATAATCATTGTTCTTCCTGCTGCTAACAGCAAAACCAAGAATAGCATCTCACTCTGCTGCGGAGCTGCCATCCCCAGCGGGCCCCGGCTTCTGCCAACATAGCCCATGAAAGCATCGGGCAGGAAGAATCCATACCCAGACCAACTTATCAGCACTTGGGATGCAGGCTGAACTCACACCAGGACAGCAGGACCACACCTGGAAACACAGCCTACTGCTTTCGAGTGCTCTTAACAAGAACTGCAGCCAGCAGAGCCACAAAGACACCTTCAGAGGTTTAACAAAGCCTTCCCTGTGGCAGCTCTCACCCTTCCTGGGACCTCTTTTCCTCTCCTCCCTTCCTTCCATCTGCTGTTCCTCTGTAAGGGCCCCTGCGTGGCTCTGTCACCGAAGGGACCAGAAGTGATCTGGGGACCACTCCTTCTGTTGGCAGAAGGATGCTGTAACAAAAAAGCTGGTAAAGCGGGGATTTTTCCTGTTCCTGGAGCTCAGGGGATACAACTGACAAGCTTGCCTCTCCTCTCCAGCTGCCTCCGGCACACGCAAGGGGATTTATCCCTTCTGCCCCCCCAGCAAAGAAAGGTACCACTTGAGCCTTGTTTTCCTGCCCCTCTCCCATGCTTACCTGTCAGCATCAGTCACCAGGGCCAGGCGTCCGTAGTCCCAAGCAACTTTACGCAAAATTGAAAAGACAAACAACAGCGCCTGGAAGAGAGCAAAGGAGGAGCTGTGAGATGAGCACTGTCCAGCTCTGTCCTTGTCCTCTGCATGCAGAGCTACAGGAACAGGGAGAATAGGAGGGGACAGAACTGCTCAGCTGCCCCAGGTTTGGTGCCACCAGCCATGGGACAGCACAAGTTCCCCAGGGCTGTTAAAATCTGGCTAGCTGGATGGCTGTGGGAGGCAGAGGTCCAGGATGCAACACAAAGTAGGTAAGTTAGCCACAAGATCAAAAAGCCCTCATGCCCCAAGGAGGCAAGATTACAGCTACAGCATCTGTGATCCTGAAGTTTCTAGGGAAGAACAGGAAAAACCTTTGGGTGGGTAAAGCTGCAGAGACTTGGCACCATAAGCGGGAGTTTTGGGATTCAGGACTGACCTAACCTGACCTGTGTCCTTAGGAAAATTTGCAAGACCCTTCCATGGGCTCAGTGAGATGGTATTGGAGTTAAGTCAATAGTAGCTAAGCCCACGGTGGCTGAGGGACACAATCAGGGCCATAAAGTCAGCCAGCAGCAAAGTCAGGGATGGGATTTGGGGTCCTCAACTCTAACCACCCAACCCCAGTCCTCCCCTCGTGGCTAATTAGGGGAGAAGGTGCTGAAGCAAGAGCAGGCAGACTTACGAGAAAGCACATAAAGTCAAGGGCTAGGACAGTGGGGACCCCGCCGAAGGGCAGCCCCTGCAGCACAGTGCTGCGGATGCGGGCGCTGTAGCAGTAGTCCTTGGTACTGTTGTTGCATGTGGAGGCTTTGCAGGTGGCCCCTGCTGAGCCCAGGGTGGCAATCACGTAGGGAAGCATCTCTACAGCTTCATCGTCTTCCCTGGGGAGAGGAGAGAAAGGCTTGGTTAGATGCACGCCAGCTGGAGACCAGCACAGCCCCGTTGGAGTTCGGGGCAACCTCGCCTGCTGTCTCAGGCTCCTCCGCGCTACGGGATGTCCCTGGGAACCAGTGTCCAGGGACAAGGTCATCTTGAGAAGCCTGCTGAGTTTGGGGGGTGCTGGAAGAGCCCAGGTACTTCAGCAGCTGTGGTCCCACCACGCACAGTCCCGTGTCCCCCCACTCTCACGCCATTTAGGTGCACCTCCTTCTCATGGACCACTCCTCTTCCTGAAGACACGGTGTCTCAGACCCTTCCCCTCGGCAGGGAGAACATTAGGTACAGGAAAGAATGAAAGGGTGGGGCAGTGGGGACACGAAGTCATGTCTGGATGATGGAAACTGTTACGGGACAGTTGCTGCATCACCATCCCATAATTTCCTTCTCCTGGCTGTGTGCCATCAGCTTTACTAGGCTAAATCACCACTCTCCACTCACTGCGGGCCTCAGCCTCCAGCTCCCAGTGCACCCATCAGGGGCTGGTTACACCCCCGCTTGTTTTCTTTCCTTCCTGTGACTTGGATGCATTTAGAGGAGGTTTAGGCTCTACTATGGAGCTGGTCTTGAATTGCTACAAGACCCGCAGCTGGGCTCAGGTCAGCATCACTGCAGCATCACTGCTCGGACACAGGGAGATCTTCCTCCTGTGCAGAGAAGCTCCACGGGAAACACAGAAAAAATGATGCTAGCCATGGATAAATGCAAATTGAGCATCACTGGGATGGTCTAGAAATGACAAATCGACAGCAGAAACACCACCACTTTGCAGAACAGGGGAGAGAAAACCCCATCAGCTGCAGAAGGAAGCAGTGATAACTCAAGCTGCCAATCCCCAAACCTCTCCTCTTATCCAGCACCCACCAACCACCCCAAATCCTTCACTGCTGCCACATACCATGCAGAAAGGCTGGTTGGCACAGCATCACTTCTGGGCAGTGCTCAGAGGCTGCTAGCCCAAGCCCAGAAATGCCACCCTGGTGGGCTGGGGAAAAACGCTGTCACCTGCCCAAATCCCACGAAAGCCACCACCACTGCCCTGGGCTGCTTTCAGCCTCTTGTCCCAAAGACGTCCCCTGCCAGCACAGCCCTGCCCTTCTAGCTCTGCGGTGGATAGTGACATTAGCAGAGAGGGCAGAGGGCTCGTCCCTCCAGCTCATGGGTATGTCCTGGCAATCTCCTGCCTGCCTGCAGAGATTTATCAGCATCGCAGCACGACGCTGGCTGGATAATGACCACCAAACCTGTGGTGTCCTACAGAGCTTGGCTTCAAAGTGATCCCTCCCAGCTCAGCTGGGCCAGATGCACAGCTGCAAGCCAGCTGAAACAGTGACGACAAAGGGCACCATGACCAGCAAAAAGCCTGGCTGGGTACAGGCATTGAGGGGGGGAAAAGCCACCAAGCAGCCTGTTAAGAGATATTCACAGGTACTGAGCTGGAGCAGGGCAGCCAGGAGTGGAAAACAGGAGTAGAAAAGCCAAAGCCAAGGCACGAGACCACAGTTGGGAACCAGCTGGGGAGCAAGGCAGGAGAATTCACTCTGGCTGAATTAAGGAGAGACTCGGAAGCTCCAGGGAAAGGATGGGAAGAAACCATGGGATTAGATGCACCAAAGGAAAGCCACACACTTTGGAGTCTGAAGGGTTATACCCCTCTGGTTTTACCTCCAAAGTGCCAGCCTAGATGGACTCATTGCAAAGAAAAATACCTCTCATTCCTTTTTTGGGGAGCCTTGTAAACTTTTAGGCTGTAAATGGTATCTTGCAGCAACGAGTTCCAGATGTTGAGTAGAAGACTACGATCCCACTGCAACTCCCCAGCCTTCAGTTCTCCCTACATAGCGAGAAAAGGCAAAGAATAAAAGCCTTTGCTTTTTCTAGACCTACTAAGCTTACTACTGCTAAGTGCCCTCCTCTCCTTGCCAGGTATCTCCAGCTCTAAGCACTCTCACCACACATCCCCAGTACATCCTGCAGGAAGGTGACCAAAGCCGCGTACGATACCCTGGCCAGGGAGATGACCTTGATGGCCAGAACAGCATCCTGATGCTCTCAGAATCTCTCCTTATGCTACTCCTTGTGCGGCTGAGCACGATTTACTTCTCTGATGGCATCTTTGTGTCCTGAGGAAAAGCATCTCTGTCACCGGTCCCAGTGCTGCTGCCCCGAGTAGCCACGGGAATTTAGAAGCCAGCCACGTCCCACAACACATCGTTCCTTCCAACACCCCAGGCTGCGTGCTTCTCGTGGCCTCACACCACTTCGCTTCACGTGGTGTTACTCCAGAGTCACTTCATCTCGACAAATCTGAATGACTCCAGGGTATCGGCAGATTTTGGGTCCCTTGCTGCACGTTCTCTTTTCTGGGTCGTTAATAGGGACGGACCTCATTCCTCTGCTCTTGTCACACTGAAATTGCTCATTCACCCCTAGGCTTTGCTTGTGGACCCTCAGCCAGTTTTTGATCCAGGACTCTACATCTCTTCTTTCTTAACAGTCTTCTGGGAGGAATTTCAGAGGTTTTCTGAACATCCAAGCAGGTTACACAAGCTGGCCAAATACTACCTATTATTTTACCAAAGTACTGAAAGACCTGCAACACATCAGGAAAGTATGATTTTCCTCTGCAGAGACCAAGCTGTTTACCTCACTCCTGCATGTTTTACAGCCTCATTTTCCAGTCATCTTTCTAAAAGAAACGAGGCTCACACGCTCACGTTGCCCATGACTCTATAATAATTATTTATACAAACCATTACATGTTCAAGACAAATTTTGCAAGCCTGTGGGTAATTTAAGCCATATTTCACAGGGACAGGTCCCAGAGATGTATTTATTTTTTCCTCTGAAATCTAGAGGATGGACTGGAAGGGACTGGAGATAAGTCTCTCCAGTAACCCAGCCAGAACACCCCGTAATGGAAAAACTGTGGCACATACCCAAGGCTTACGCTGCCTTTTCATCAGCCCAGCAGTCAGCACCATCCTTAGGTATGCAGCCTCCCCCCTGCCTGGCTGGAGAGCACAAGAAGAGGGTCCCCATGGAGACAGAGGTGTTTCAGGTGTGTGGGTAGGCTGGGAAAGCTTGCAGGGATGTCTGGAGCACTTCTGTCCTTCCAGCTCCCCCAGCAGCAGGCTAGGGGCCACCTGCCATCAGGTAACACCAGCCAAGGTGCCCCATTTCTTCTGGGGTACAACACAAATCGGGCAACTAAGAAAAAGCTTGGTGACCATCTCCGTAGGCTCAATGGACAGTGTCTACCTAGTATCCTTCATCCAAAGACCTTTCCCAGAAGCTGCCTTTCCTGGTCCCTCCTTCCCCTTTTGGGCTGTAGGACAGAGTGAGCTTGGCTCCGCCTGCGCTGGGATGCTAACATCAGCACGACCTCCTGCTCATCGAGATAGCCAAGGTGCAGGGAGTTGGTGAGAAGCTGCTGCAAGGGCTGGGGTGGTGGGAATGAGCCCGCGGTGTCCAAGTCCTTTCCTGATCGTGAGCATGGCTTCCCACCACAGCACGCAGTGGGGTCAAGGAGGCAGCAAGAGCAGGACATCAAACCAGGTCCCATGGAAACCCCAGAGCCTTTCCCTCCTGCACTCTGCACATTTAATGCTGACTTCCTCAAAACAGCAAGGACAGCATAGAAAGACTTGCCAAAAAGGCATTTTTGGCTCTTATTCAGCAATACTGGACTCCATCTCCTTCTCTATGAGCAGCCAGAAGGGGGGAGGGAGGAATGGCAGCCCCCCTCTTTCCCCATCCCCAGAGAAGCTTGCTCCTAGCACAGTGCTGGGTTTTCCCCTTGGATGAGCACCCACACAGGACTCCAGCAAGCTTCCAGGCTCTCATCCGCTCACTGCAAAAAAAAGAAGGTGGCATGAGGCTGGGAAAGCCAGGATGACATGCCTTGGCCCTTCCACGGCTGTGTGTCAGCCTGCAGAGCCGGTACTGGCACCAGGAGGAAAGAAGAAAGAGAAAGCACTCTGCTGGGACTCGGGCAGGAGCGATGCAGAAGCTGGACAGCCACCTTACAGGCAGAGAGATGCACCGACATGGGCAAGTGTCTGGCTGTGTTCTTCCAGCCACACCACTGATGTCAGCCAGACACAAGGAGGTGGCCTGAGAAACGCTTGTAGAAAAATATAAATCAATAAAGCATATGCCTGCGCTTGCAGCCAGAACGATGTAAGCACACAAGCTACATTCATTTGTTTTCCAACCGGTAAATGTTAATAACCCCATCTGTAATTAGAACAGCGAGATTGTGCTCCGGTAGAGACATATTCATTTATGGAAATGTGACAGTCTCCCAACAGGCTGGAGGCACGGAGACAGGCAGCCAGGTCTGGGGTTAGGATAATAAAGTTTTCCAGATTTAAAAAAAGAAAGAGCAAAATCTGCTAAATCTCTAGGATACAACATTCAGGGAGGGAAGGTGCGTTTTGGTTCCTGGCCCCAGAGGGTGTTGGGGGCATGGTCTGTACCTTGGAGACCTGCTCCTCTGGAGTTCCCTTGGTCTCCCAAGCACCATGGGTGATGCACACCGTGACACCAGGGACCTCCACCCAGAGGATGTGCCACCCCGAGCCCCCGCCTGCCAGCAGAGACCTGCCTGTGCTCAGCACTTGGGGACCCTCAGGCAGCAGCTGGCACCCAAATTTGAGGGAACTTTTCACCCCCCAAACAGCCACCTAGGATACCTGCTCCTCGATGGCAAAGCCCAGCAGAGCTCTGTGCAAACCACTCGCAGCCACAAACAGACCATGGCAAGAACAGCCCGACCCTCGGCAAGCGAGACGGGAAAAGCCTCGAGAGAGGAGGTGGCTCGCGAATTAGCAGAAAGCCTTTCCCAGAGTACAGCAGCAAAGAAAAGAGGTAACTGGCAGCGTTGCTGCAGGCAGAGCGGTGGGAAAGCTGCCCTGTGCC